ACTTTGTGAGTGTGCGTCCATGGATTTGGCGTCACTTGGATAGGTAGACATGACCACGTCAAACGGATTGCACACCGACTTGGAAGTCACCTTCAAGTTGCACATGGCTGGCCGAAGGCGGTGAAACGAAAGTGTATTTGGACTCGGAATTGACTGTGAAGATATTGACGTCGGGTTTCCCTTGCCAATAGCCGAACATCGCCGAGCAGTTTCGTATAGAGATTCATTCAGTTGTGATTGTGTTTTCAGAATATCAGGGTGTCGTCATTCAACCGTGGTTTGTAGGTCCATGACTCGTAATAATCGCACGCGGGAATCTCTGCTCGACGATCGACTATACACGTATAGTTGTCGCCATTGACTATATGACAACATCACTATTCGAGGTGAAACATTTCCCAATTAGATTGAGTTATTTCCTGTATATGTCACTCCTCTTGAATTTACAGCACGAGTACTCTACCATAGACCTTAGAAAAGATGGATGTGCAACTGCGGTATTTCCTTTCATCTAACGTGGGTTATAATCTCAATTTCATAATCTCTGTAACTATAGCAGGGATTTACGTCGTTATATATCTGTTTTAATGTATATGATTGTACGAGCGAACTTCGCGAATGACAATGCATGACGGGATTTACTATTGTAGTGAAAACAATAAACAACTTAGTTGATAAACGGTGCAATGAGTTACGATCAATATCAGTGACGTAAACACTGTTTTAGACATTAGAGTAAATGTGAATTAATTAATTCACGCAGTGTACACGTCAAGCCTCCTTAGCTCAGTGGCAGAGCACTGGTCTTGTAAACCAGGGGTCGTGAGTTCGAATCTCACAGGGGGCTGCTCATCTTTTGATGTACATGTATATAGTTTCGCTGGAGCCGATATGAGACTCCACATGGACTGTGATATGCTAAATATTTTTTTTAAATGTGGAAACTTCACAAAAATACATTTCAGGTACAGTGCCTCATTTTATGGGGACTATGCTTTACATACTAGTATATCCAATGAAATTCTAGTTGTTGTAGGTGAAGGCGCGTTAAATTTGAAGATTACCGGTACATAACTTAAATTCAGCCTGATTTAGATTTTGTTTTTACAACGAACCGGGTTAAATAAAAGTTAAAACACTGAAAATGCTGATGAACGTCGCAAAACTATTAATTTTTGGTGATATATAGATTAAAGTGCGATAGTCGTCGCGCTGCGCATGTGCGACATTTGTGTTGATAAACATTGATTTTCCCACAATCGAATTCGCTCTTCAAATGGAAATCACAAGTATGAGGTTTGACCTGGGCGCGATTTGCACTGATTACCACCGGTAACTCTTTGATACCTTCCAGCATATGAAAATTACTTAATTAAAGCATGGAAACGTCTCAGTTCGTACTCGTTGACCTGTGCAACAGTCAAAGTCTCCATCTTTGTTTATAGTATGGTACCCATATATCTCGCACATGCGCAGCGCGACGACTACCGCGCTTTAACAAATAGAACCGATTTTCGTTGTATGTTATCTGTTCACAACCATTAAGGGCTGAAAAATATTAATTTTGATTAGTCAACGTGCACACCACTCAAAATACGTGCGGTCCGATCTTTTGTCTTTTAATTTGCCATTGTACAAACACCTATGTTGACGAATTGATCAGATCCGCAAAATTAGCAACTAGTGTTTTAGGTGAGTGTATATAGCATTTTTGACGTCAAGCCTCCTTAGCTCAGTGGCAGAGCACTGGTCTTGTAAACCGACTACCGCGCTTTAACAAATAGAACCGATTTTCGTTGTATGTTATCTGTTCACAACCATTAAGGGCTGAAAAATATTAATTTTGATTAGTCAACGTGCACACCACTCAAAATACGTGCGGTCCGATCTTTTGTCTTTTAATTTGCCATTGTACAAACACCTATGTTGACGAATTGATCAGATCCGCAAAATTAGCAACTAGTCTTTTAGGTGAGTGTATATAGCATTTTTGATGTCAAGCCTCCTTAGCTCAGTGGCAGAGCACTGGTCTTGTAAACCAGGGGTCGTGAGTTCGAATCTCACAGGGGGCTAGTGTAATTTTTGTTGCGCTTTTTAATTTTAGTCTTTTTGGACATTATAGGTCTTTATTGTACGTTATACCTGTTGTTTACATAAATTTATTTGGCGAAGATTGCTCATGTGCAACGAATCGGATATTTGTATTATTTGCTGGCTTGACGAATAAGCGGCTAGATATCTGGAAATGCGCGACGAGCTGCGCAATTTACAACATCCGGGTATCACAAAAATCAACTTCTAACATGGCGGGTGGGATGGCTAGTACATTGAGTCCAAAATATTGAAAATACCCGAGTAAAATAACCGCCTTTCTGGAAAATAACTGGACTCTGTTGTATAGGAGAAAGAAGGTAGGAAAATGCAGAATGTTGGACACTCTTTAGGTGAAGAAACTGATGATATTCTTAAAATGAGTGAGCATATTGAGGACAGGGTAACTTCGACTGCGGCATCGGTTCTCGAAAAAGCACAGGTTTTGGCAACTCTGCAACAGGATTTAATGGCCGATCTTTCTGGCAGTGAAGAAGGAGAGGTCTCAGAGGTAAGATAATCAGTATTCAATAAACTCAGCCGCGGAGCCGACTTTCATGACCTGATTATTCTTGGAAAAAACAACGACGCATCTGAAATTTCTACATCACATGGCCGAATCTGATTTTCACCCAAAGGGCCCAAAGTTCACAAAATGACGATGGTTACTTACAAGGATGAAGATTGTGATCTCCCGGTCTGTTAGCGCGATTTGATTTTTCAGGATTTGAAAGTTGTTAGTGATCTGGTCATCTCACATTTACATGTCAACTGCCATTTTGTTCATAATCCCGCTGTAGTTCACCGATATTTGCTACGTGTAATTTCCTAATGGCAATTTTATTTTGATTGACACACGTGCGGTCACTGTAATGTTTCCACTGGTTTTCACATCAAGCACAGTTTTACAGGTGCTGTATATTCCATCTAGAGTCTTGCCATATTCCATTCACTTCACATGTTCACGTTTTCAAAAAGACAGTCTACTAAATCAACCTTACATTTCTTGAAGAATGTTTTAGTGTTGTTGTACTGTCAAGTTATTTTTATTATATTAATATTCATTACAATGTATTCTAATGTAGACTAACCATTGACAGTGACGATTAGATTTTTGCTGATCACACTTATGTTTTTTATCTGTTGGAATTATGTGATTGACACTGTCAGAAAGTTGATGTTTGTGCTTTTATAGAAAACAATTATTTGATGCAATAAAAGTTGTTGTGTACAATGCTGATCATGACTGATCACACCTGTGCAGTGATCGTCATTTGTTTCCAAACCTCAAAACTGTTCATATATTTTCTCTGTGGGGCAACCTGCGAATAGCTATGTAAATTTTTTTCACTTTTTGAAATTGTTAGCTATAATTCTGACAGTTTCCTATTCAACACCTTTGTGATATTATGAGTTTTGGTAACTGTTTTTTTCGTATTGTGCTTTGCTGTGGTTGTTTTTTTTCACTGAATTTATGAATATTTTGACTCTAGACTTGTAATGCTGAAATGTGTTATTTTTTACAACTTAGCTAGTTGTCTATACATCCTGTATAGGTCGTACACATACCGTGTTCTCACTAGAAAAAGTTACATTGACAAAAGTTACACCTTTGTAATAAAAAAATGTATAATGCACTCGATGGTGCTGATTTGTTGGATAGGCAATGCTTTGGTTGACCATATATTTCTGCCGTTTGTGTTCTTTTTCATTCAAGCAATTATAGTTACCCATTCCTGCTAAAACATAAAGCTAATCTCTTTTTAGCTCTATGGTGGAACCAAAACCTAAACTGATCTCAAATTTGACACACATTGCCTACTTTGAAATAAGATTTGAACTTGAATACAGTTGACAGTACAGCTCCAATACACTTAAACACAATTTGTGAACGGTAGCTGTTGTTGCCAGATTTAATTCCCTTTACACCTGTGTAACATGTGCTCATCTGTCTGTGCCAACATTACTACCATACTTAAGGTCCAGGGTGTTTTACCAAGCGTCGATGACATTTATCTCTTTTGAGTAGTAGTTTTCGAAACGGCAAAAATGTGATCGTCAAGTCGTGAAACCTGGTCATTGAACATTGTTTTACTTTACCGAATAAACGTCCATTGAGACTATCAAGAATGGGGTGTGAACAAGCAAACTATTCTTCGACATGACTTGTTGGCGGCCGTGAAAAGTTTAAATACTTCTTCTACCCTCAGTTTACCTTTTGTAAATTGCGAATTAACAGCTTTTAAAGGGGAAAATTACTGTGTTTTTTTTTGTCAAAATCAGTGTTAACAGATCGTATTTTAACATCGCGGTAATTCACCTCCGCATTGCGTTGAAAAAATTACTTCATCAATAATCAGAAAACTTTGTCTGTACGACACAGCATTTTGATTGGTTAACAAAAGACGTGACTTGTTAGGTCAAAGGAAGTTGTTCAGGTCAAATCATAAGAGTATCAAGAGTTTGGGTACGATTAAAAACATTCCACAACGAAGATAATGATAAAGATCTTGTCTTTGACTGTTTCCTCACAGACCCTCTCGATTTTTGCACTGTAAATTCAGACGGTATGTAAACCGTATTGTAATAAAATGTGTGTAATTTTATGAACATGTTAGTTTCTTCATTGTAAAATGTGTCATGGAAATTAATGACAACTCGTTTTGCATTTTTTTCCACAAAGAGACGTATTATTTCTCCAAGATCAGTGCTGTGAACGAAAAATATAATTTGGATAATTTTTCATGGGTTGGAAGATGGTTATCTTTTCTGAGGTGGTCCTCAAGTATAAGCCCACCCCCTAATTTTCCTGATTTTAAATGTTCAGGCCCCTGGGCTTATGATCAAGGAAGTATGGTATTACCATACTCAACCGTGTGAACGCCCAGTGTTCTCAACTCAGAAAATCATTATTTTTTAGGATTGGGTGCTTACCTGAGCACCCCCATCGGGAAAAGAGTGCAAATGACAATTTTAGTTCACCCTGTGACATTACAAAATTAGTTGCGTCGTCATTGACTTTCACAATGAATAAACAGAAATGGTCACAAAAATATGAACATTTTATTACAATATTAATTACATAGGAGTTGAAGTCAAAATCTTCATTATTGTCGAATGTATTGGATTGCATTTCATTTTTATTAACAGGTCTTTGTCGAAGTGTAATTTACACATGGCTACCATAGTCTACGCATTCACAACATATTCACGTTGGTTGATATCCACGTTGTACCATATAAAAAGATTACCAATATCCGTTTTATGATTAGACAAATTACAGGCATTTTTGAAGGGGTTGTTCGCTTAGCGAACGTGAACCCGAAAATATAATTGTTCCAAAAGTGGGAGTGGGTGCATAGCCGAGCATGGGTGCTAAGCCGGTCGAGTACGGTATATAATATTTATGCCAGTGCTGTCATTAGTGTAATATGTTCACTTATGATTTTCTCTTGCCCTAATGTGAGTGATGTCAACGGAAAGGGGGACAAAAAACAGATGTGAACATGGTAATTGTCAGTCGGGTATTTCTGTATTCACTCGCAATATTATTTGATTCGGTTCAAGATTTATTGTCAAGGTATTTCATCTTAACATATTGAAATTAGACACCCTATGGTTACAACAGTATTTAGAAGCAAATTAAAAAACACCATTATTTAGTCTACGAGTGTAAACGACCGTTTCTCATCAACCAGACGATGCATACTCACAAGTGAGTCCCCCTGTACTTGAGATGCGTCTTTAATAGTAGAGCAAATACGGAATATCAAGTGGCTTTTCAGATTGTAATTGAATGAAGATTTGATTGTTTGCTGGATTATTCACTGGAATGAGTAACTTCATTTCAATATGCTTCAAAAAGTTTGTGACCACAAAACATTCAAGTCAGAGTTTGAATGTGTATCTTGATAGTAGTGCAAATAAATTACTGTAATTACGATGTAATTCGTAAATGTATGTAAAATAACAATACTCACTGGAATTGTCAGCTTAAAACGCTTATGCTCAAAATAGTGAAACTAAGTACCACAGCATTTTTTTTTTATATCTGAAATAGTCATGTGACCTTCTGGCCACAGTCATTTTCAATATCAAATTTGGAATCATCAAATCAAATTAAATCTCATCAAAGTTCAAAGTTTGACCCAGTTCTGCACGATGAGAAACATAACTGTTTTGGGCATACTGGTAATGTTGTTGGAAACTTCATATATAATGGGAATGAGCTCAGCCATCCCACCCCCTTTCCGCCTATGTCAGAACCCATATTCAAATGTACAAAATCTTAAGTTAACAGATTTTAAGATTAATAAATTGGAATGATCTGAACATGGTCCCATAACTGAACCAACACACAGAAAATGCTGAATAAAAAATATATATATATTTTCCTGGAAAAATAGCAGTTTGTATGAGCAAATAGTTTCTATTTCGGATTCTCGGCCGAACGAGGGTAGTACATGTAAGAGTTATATTCCTAACATTACTGGTATATATTTCGTTTCGATATATTGGTAAACCAGTATTCCATAAATGTTGATGTGTTCCAGTGACGTGTAAAAATGTACAAAAAAGTTTGAATAGAGATGACACATGTCAAAAAGACATTGAAAACTGCATTTCTATAATTTCATTCAGTGAAAATACACAACACACAAGATGGCAGACATGCCTCTACTTCTATGATGGCTGAACTGATGGTTCATTGCATTTTATTTTTCCACTCTGCACAAAACACTGTGCACTACGTGTAGTTTGTACTGTAGAACATGTCGACCCTGGTAGTTTGAAAGTTGCGTGGTTACTGTATTCGTGGTATTGGGAATTAAGTGCCACATTCGTTATGCAACAAATGTTTTTTTTTGTATGTTACACGCATAGTATATACTCCACATGCAACCAGCATATGTAATTGAGCATGAATGTTTTATTTAATATGTTGTGTGTTTGAATTTGTATGGTAATTCACCTTAGAACAAAACAAATTGTGTTTTTTTGTGTGTGATCAGGTACCAGTGGGACACTAACTAAGCAATGTTAAATTTTGGATGTATAAAACATGGCAATAATTTTGTGTTTACCATGTATATCATCCACAAATTGATAATGTGGCTTTGTTGGGCTGAATAATCATTACAGGTTGTTCTTGTTGGCATATGAAAAGAAACCAAGAAAAATGTGGGTGTCACACAATGTTGGTGGGTGTCACACAATGTTGGTGGGTGTCACACAATGTTGGTTGGTGTGCCTGCCACCCACATGTCGAGAGAACACTGCACTTTATTTTGGTAAACTGCTTCATCTAATGGATAGAAATCGTAATTTCTTTAATAATTGGTAGCGTTAGTTGACTGCTCTGAAGTTTGAGTCCTGTTACTGTTACATATATATTATCGACGCTATACAATTATTATCAATCATGTTAATTTTGGGACAGATAATTTTTGGAACCTTTTATAATAACTTCAGTTGCTGCTTGCATCACCTGTCTGAGTTAACCCATGCATGTAACGTGTCACCGTATATAGATACATGTAAATGAATCCTTATTGGATTATTCACATACATTTTGTGGAATGAATAGGAGCAGTGTGGAACTCATGAAAACAGCTCATGCAATTCATGGAAATCTTTTTATTCCTGGTATATACAAATTAGGTCAAGGCTACAAATCTTTCTCACAGGGTTTTCAAAAGATTGTGTCTGTCTGTCTGTCTGGGGCCATATCTGTGCATAATAAGCAGCTATTTTGCATATTAATTATCTTATTTCAGCCTGTTTCAAAAACTTCAGAACAGATTTTCATGAAATTTGCTTTAAATTGGTGCTGAACATCTTCTGGCTGATGATCTTAACCTCTAATGCCATTGCTCCTTCACTGACTGTTAGCAATATCAATTTCTTATAAAACAACAATAATATATATATGCTGTATTCACATGGGAGTTTAACTTTGATTATTGTTCTTTGTTGAAATGTCTTCAGAGAGGAATACATGTATAGTGTTGAGATATCTTTACTTCATCAAAATTAACCTTCATCAAATGTGTAGCATAAAAATACTTAAAAACTAGTTTGGTATATGTCGAATCCCATGGGATTTGTTGATGTTACTACGATGCTATGACCTATGTCCTGTTATTACATTCAATTTAATGCATAACGTTTCATCTGATAGTCTGATAGTACCGTAGATGTTATTTGCACATTTCTGGACTTCCTATCGTTTGATCATGTTACAAAACTATATGGTCCCAGAAGCACAGAAACTAGTGATGCTATGATAGATGGGTGTGGTACCAGTAATTCTCAAAACAACATGCTCACTGTTTTCTGTTTCAATCACTGTCATTTTTAGACTGTAAACAAGCTGTGAGAGTCTTGTATTTTCATGTGTTCAAATGCAGAATAGTTTTAAAGACACCACATGGCTTTTGAGGGTAATTGCTACCTTTGAGACTAATATGCCATTTTGTATTTTAAATGTGATGTCTTTATATTCATAGGGATTGTCACAGTTGTAGACAAACCTTAAATGTGATCTATAGAATTAGTGTCACCTCTGAATACATCTATTGTCTCATGTATCAATGTACACTTGTTGGACACTGTTTTTCACATCCATCAATACTTGACCTTTCATTAGACTGGTGAAGTACCCCTTTCTTTTTTCCCTTTTGATATAATTATAAATGGTTGTTTTCAAGTAATTATTCCTAATTTGTTAGTTTCATATGTACTGTCAAATGCAGTAAATTAGTATATTGTAAAGCAGTAGTTGCTTGTAATGATACAGCTCTTTCTCAGGTCAATGTACTTTGAAGGTCACTCTTACTATGAGCTATATAAGTTGGTGTTGTCTGGTTGGATTGTGTCTATATCCTAACACTAACAAATAAAATGCACATAATTTTCACTGTTCAATCTAAAATTAACGAGATTCTGAAAAAAAAATTCAAAATGTTTTGGTGGCTTCAAAGATAAAATATACATGATCATTACTGTGAATTGTTAGCTCAATAACTGAAACAGATAAATTTCCCTCCATAGCCGCATTGTTTAAAACAAAATAAATTTTTCCCTAATAATGAATGAAATGGCAGGATGTGTGAATAAATAATACCTATTTCATAAAATCTTATATTGGTTATAATTTTGTTCTGTTACCACTTCATATACTCACTCAGGTTTTTTGATTAAAACTAATGACTGATTACCTGTCAGTTGCCAACTCATCACTTAATTATGCTTCATGTCTGAAAATAAAATGTATATCATCATGCAACTCTTGTAGACACAAATTAGGATTTCTCAAATGCACTAATGTATTGTATGTGACCTAGTTGGTGTGTATTGCGTTATGGAAATTACAAGTTTGATGCTCAACGGTCCACACAGTAAATATAGTGACTTTAGACTACTTTACAGAATTGCAGCATTTCATATTGTGAGATTAAAAGTCTGTCAAAAGAAAACTCATGACGCATTGTGTGATGTTTCTGGTCTCAAGTGCATGTAGAAAGTACTAGATTTATCACTGCTTTCTCACTGAAAGTTGTCATGTTTAAATATATAAATGTATAAAAAGTTGTCACTGTTGCATTTTCGTTGTTGCAGCAAACCCATTATTGATTAGTTCCAAATTTAAATCTCACTGGTATCCAAAGTTGAATACCGAAAACCGTAGGTGTGACTAGGTTGCTAGAGACTCGTTAGAGCAATCAATATACTATTTACTTAACTGACAAAAATAACTGACTGCATATTCAATTTTTACACAGGTCGAATCCTTTATACTGGACCCAGATGAATTGGAAGGTGAACCAATACTAGACACCGCATCTAAACTGTTACAACTCAACAGTACTGGTGGAGATTTAAAAATTGTTGATCCCGACACACAAGAAAAATTAGAGGCTTTGTTAGAAGCAGCAGGTACAGTAGAAATTATTGTGACACGTCTAGATAGTGGAATCCTTGAGTGTCATGGGTGTATTTACAGATTACATTGAATCCCTTGAGGTTTGCTTAATCTGACATCAGAAATTGTTCCTGACAAAGCTGCTACATCATTCTGAGCTCTAGGTGATAATTAACCACCCGTCTAGATTTAAAATAAGGGGAGTCTCATACTTGTACAATTTTCCTAAGCTCCTCCTACCTATACATGGCTTCCCGCATACATCATCACTACCACATTCATTTCTTTCTGAATATTCATATTAGCATTCTCAATCTTTCTTTCTATATCAGCATTATCATATTCTTCTCCAGAGAGTTCAACTACCTTAAATTTTATGTGTATTGTTTTTTTTTTGATGTCAACTATTTGACTCACAAAGCTCACTAATTTCTATTCCTGCTTACTTATCCCAAACCAAGAGAGAATATCATGACATTGATTATATATTATTCATTTGTATATTTCCTACTTTAAAAAATAAATAAATAATAATGAATTGTTGACTATAGAGGTAATATTGATTTAAAGTTTTATAAGAATTTCACAAAATTGGTTCTAGTAACTGAATTCAGACGTGTCCAAAAAACTTGTCAGCGATGTGGTTATTTGCCATACTCAATTTATATACTCAATAGTTTTGACCTGCACTTATGGAGGTGATTGACTAAACCTGAATGTTTTGATTCAATATGTCCTAGGCATTTAATGTGGCCATGAAATCGGGTGTCCTTAGAATAGTTCCAATTCAAGCCATGTTAGGCATGATACCAACATCATTCAATTGTGGAATTCTAATGAAAATGCTTTCTTGGTATTGTAGGAATTGGCAAATTAGCGACTGTAGATGGCAAAGCTTTCACTGATCCTGAAGTTTTGAGAAGATTGACTTCATCTGTAAGTTGTGCATTGGACGAAGCTGCAGCAGCATTGAGTCGTATGCGAGCTGAGATGGGTGGATCAGGACCTGTCTCTGAGGGGTAAGATATATTTCACTAACTGTCATTGACTGACATAAAACTATTACTGTAATATCTATACTAGAAGCCATGGCTTCTATTTATATGGTGGAATGCAATAGAGGGATGTGGCTTCTATTAGAGCATCTACACATGAGAAATGATGAATTTTTGGTTCTCAATTGTTCAAAAATGATTGAGTGCGACTCCTACTAGGGATGTGGCTTCTAATACAGATAATACAGCTACTGGTATAGACATGTTCAGTTTGAATTGCTCTGATGACCTGGCTACTGTTACCATTTAATGTCGACTACTACCATAACAAAATCCTTTTTTTAGTGCCAGTAACATTATTGTAACATTTAGCATGCAATGTATCAACATACACAGTTTGTCAATTCGTTTTGGTTTTTTTGGTGATCAAAGAGTGGGGAATAACCTTTCTAGCCGTAGACTCTCCAGAATTTTGGGCACTGACTATTTTTTCAACAATTTCCTGAATTCATAAAGCTTATTGGATGTGAATATGAACTAATGTAATCTGTCAACTTGATGCATGGCTACTACAGTCAGTTATGTCAACAGTTAGTTACAACTCTGTTGTTATTGATCTGTAGAATAAGATCATTGGTCGATGCATGCACTGAAGGAGATGTGAATGCTGTCAGGAAATTATTAGACGAAGGTCGTAGTGTACATGAAACCACTGAGGAAGGGGAAAGTTTATTATCGCTTGCATGTTCTGCTGGCTACTATGAACTAGCACAGGTAAATGTCTTGTCTTGTTCTTTATAACAATTATAAATCTGAGCATGTATAATAGATCATTTATCGAAAAAACTATTTAAGAAAAACGTTTTGAGGAATCCACCTTCATTTCCTATTTCATATACCGTATTTGCTTGTATAAACATTTGCATTTGTTGTCAAGTGAACCATTGAAATATGACTTATTTTGACCATAGAAACACCTGTGTGATTTGTGTATTAAGTGTACGCTCTATTGATAGTGATATTGTTGTGAAGTAAGCCACTTTTAATACTAATCTGATTCTTTGTAATAGTGAGGATTATCCTATCTTAATGCTTGGTTATATTTCATTTACTTGCCATGCCAAGTTTGATATCTGTTTTGTCTGATATTCATTATTAATTCATCAAAAATTATGAATTATTTAACTGTACATGTGTGATTGATCTATTCCTTCTAACTATTTGATTAGTACCAAGTTGGATTATTACTGTATTTGCTCTATTAATAGCTAAGGTGTGTCTCTGATCAAAATGAGTCGTACTTTAATTATTCATTGTACAATAAATGCAATATTTGTTTTCTATGCACTTGTGATAAATAAAACATATACAGTTACTAAGCATTTATGTCCATAATAGGTTCTGTTAGCAATGCATGCTAACGTAGAAGACCGTGGTATAAAAGGGGATTGTACACCATTAATGGAGTCGTCATCAGCCGGCCACACTGATATAATCAGATTACTACTCGCCCATGGCGCTGATATTAATGCCCAATCATCTACTGGTAAGATTACAATCTTAGTTTTCTGGTTTATTTGGTTTTCTGCAACTTAGCATCAATAATGCTGTCTTTATCAACACTTGTATTCATTTATTCAATACCAGAAGTCTCCGGCCTAAAAGTAAAACATGAGTAAGTGAGAAATATATAATAATGCACTAGAAGTGAAGTTCATATTGTCAATAATTTTTAACAATAAGTTATAGACATAGAGCAAGCCACTCCAATTTTGCAGTTATTAATTTTTGCCATTTGATGATTCGTGATGCTAAAATTCTGTGAAAGTATTTGACAGTCTACGTTCTATGATTTTACAACTAAGAAAAATTGTTTTTCACTGACCCTCGAAAATTTGTTCTTTACAAATTAAACCGGTTTACAGTACGTTGCATTAATAGTGTACTGTAAAAAGCTTCAATTTTGTAAGTGAAAATAAAATATATTGGGAGATTTGTTAAAAATAAAGCACTGTAATGTATAATAATCTAGAGAATGTCTTTTTTTGGGGGGAAAGGGACCTTGCTGACTTGTTGAAATCATTTTGGTAATTTTTGCAGGGAATACACCACTTATGTATACATGCAATGGTGGTCATGAGGACGCTGTTAAGGTGTTATTGGAGAATGGTGCTAATTTAGAGGATGTCAATGAAAATGGACATACACCATTGATGGAAGCAGCTAGTGCTGGACATTTAGGCGTGGCTAAAATACTCATTGAAAAAGGAGCACTTATAAATGCCCACTCCAATGAATTTAAGGAGAGTGCTCTCACTTTAGCCTGCTACAAAGGTTTGTACACCTAACCTAACATTTTTATACATCTAATATACTCTAATAAAACCAAAATATTATTTCTCGTAGATATCAATGATTTCATTGTAAGATTAACAGAAATAGGAAAGACTGTTTGTATGAAATTTAACAGGTATAATGTACTGTCTGAGGACGTTATTTACGGTATTAGCAATACATCTTTTCCTTCAAAATTCTGTAAATGTAAATGCAGAGCAATAGCATTTGTTTTCAAATGAAGTCATTACATCGTTTAATTAGGACAAACAAGTGAGTAAACAAAAACTAAAATGTCCTAAATAGAAGTCTTTATAACTGTTGTGGTGTGGAAC